CCAGAGAGAGAGAGAGGACAGTGGATAGAGTCTGAAACCAGAGAGAGAGAGGACAGTGGATAGAGTCAGAAACCAGAGAGAGAGAGGACAGTGGATAGAGTCAGAAACCAGAGAGAGAGAGGACAGTGGATAGAGTCTGAAACCAGAGAGAGAGAGGACAGTGGATAGAGTCTGAAACCAGAGAGAGAGAGGACAGTGGATAGAGTCAGAAACCAGAGAGAGAGAGAGGACAGTGGATAGAGTCAGAAACCAGAGAGAGAGAGGACAGTGGATAGAGTCAGAAACCAGAGAGAGAGAGGACAGTGGATAGAGTCTGAAACCAGAGAGAGAGAGAGGACAGTGGATAGAGTCGAAACCAGAGAGAGAGAGGACAGTGGATAGAGTCAGAAACCAGAGAGAGAGAGAGGACAGTGGATAGAGTCAGAAACCAGAGAGAGAGAGAGGACAGTGGATAGAGTCTGAAACCAGAGAGAGAGAGGACAGTGGATAGAGTCTGAAACCAGAGAGAGAGAGGACAGTGGATAGAGTCAGAAACCAGAGAGAGAGAGGACAGTGGATAGAGTCTGAAACCAGAGAGAGAGGACAGTGGATAGAGTCAGAAACCAGAGAGAGAGAGAGGACAGTGGATAGAGTCGAAACCAGAGAGAGAGAGGACAGTGGATAGAGTCTGAAACCAGAGAGAGAGAGAGGACAGTGGATAGAGTCTGAAACCAGAGAGAGAGAGGACAGTGGATAGAGTCTGAAACCAGAGAGAGAGAGAGGACAGTGGATAGAGTCTGAAACCAGAGAGAGAGAGGACAGTGGATAGAGTCAGAAACCAGAGAGAGAGAGGACAGTGGATAGAGTCTGAAACCAGAGAGAGAGAGAGACAGTGGATAGAGTCTGAAACCAGAGAGAGAGAGGACAGTGGATAGAGTCTGAAACCAGAGAGAGAGAGAGGACAGTGGATAGAGTCTGAAACCAGAGAGAGAGAGAGGACAGTGGATAGAGTCAGAAACCAGAGAGAGAGAGGACAGTGGATAGAGTCAGAAACAGAGAGAGAGAGAGGACAGTGGATAGAGTCTGAAACCAGAGAGAGAGGACAGTGGATAGAGTCTGAAACCAGAGAGAGAGAGAGGACAGTGGATAGAGTCAGAAACCAGAGAGAGAGAGGACAGTGGATAGAGTCTGAAACCAGAGAGAGAGAGGACAGTGGATAGAGTCAGAAACCAGAGAGAGAGAGAGGACAGTGGATAGAGTCAGAAACCAGAGAGAGAGGACAGTGGATAGAGTCTGAAACCAGAGAGAGAGAGGACAGTGGATAGAGTCTGAAACCAGAGAGAGAGAGGACAGTGGATAGAGTCAGAAACCAGAGAGAGAGGACAGTGGATAGAGTCTGAAACCAGAGAGAGAGAGGACAGTGGATAGAGTCAGAAACCAGAGAGAGAGAGGACAGTGGATAGAGTCAGAAACCAGAGAGAGAGAGGACAGTGGATAGAGTCTGAAACCAGAGAGAGAGAGAGGACAGTGGATAGAGTCAGAAACCAGAGAGAGAGGACAGTGGATAGAGTCTGAAACCAGAGAGAGAGAGGACAGTGGATAGAGTCAGAAACCAGAGAGAGAGAGGACAGTGGATAGAGTCAGAAACCAGAGAGAGAGGACAGTGGATAGAGTCTGAAACCAGAGAGAGAGAGGACAGTGGATAGAGTCTGAAACCAGAGAGAGAGAGAGGACAGTGGATAGAGTCTGAAACCAGAGAGAGAGGACAGTGGATAGAGTCAGAAACCAGAGAGAGAGAGAGGACAGTGGATAGAGTCAGAAACCAGAGAGAGAGAGAGGACAGTGGATAGAGTCTGAAACCAGAGAGAGAGGACAGTGGATAGAGTCTGAAACCAGAGAGAGAGGACAGTGGATAGAGTCAGAAACCAGAGAGAGAGAGGACAGTGGATAGAGTCTGAAACCAGAGAGAGAGAGAGGACAGTGGATAGAGTCAGAAACCAGAGAGAGAGAGGACAGTGGATAGAGTCAGAAACCAGAGAGAGAGAGGACAGTGGATAGAGTCAGAAACCAGAGAGAGAGAGGACAGTGGATAGAGTCTGAAACCAGAGAGAGAGAGGACAGTGGATAGAGTCAGAAACCAGAGAGAGAGAGACAGTGGATAGAGTCTGAAACCAGAGAGAGAGAGAGGACAGTGGATAGAGTCTGAAACCAGAGAGAGAGAGAGGACAGTGGATAGAGTCTGAAACCAGAGAGAGAGAGGACAGTGGATAGAGTCAGAAACCAGAGAGAGAGGACAGTGGATAGAGTCAGAAACCAGAGGAGAGAGGACAGTGGATAGAGTCTGAAACCAGAGAGAGAGAGGACAGTGGATAGAGTCTGAAACCAGAGAGAGAGGACAGTGGATAGAGTCTGAAACCAGAGAGAGAGAGGACAGTGGATAGAGTCTGAAACCAGAGAGAGAGAGGACAGTGGATAGAGTCAGAAACCAGAGAGAGAGAGAGGACAGTGGATAGAGTCAGAAACCAGAGAGAGAGAGGGACAGTGGATAGAGTCTGAAACCAGAGAGAGAGAGAGAGGACAGTGGATAGAGTCAGAAACCAGAGAGAGAGGACAGTGGATAGAGTCAGAAACCAGGAGAGAGAGGACAGTGGATAGAGTCAGAAACCAGAGAGAGAGAGGACAGTGGATAGAGTCTGAAACCAGAGAGAGAGGACAGCGGATAGAGTCTGAAACCAGAGAGAGAGAGAGAGGCAGTGGATAGAGTCAGAAACCAGGTGAGAGAGGACAGCGGATAGAGTCTGAAACCAGAGAGAGAGAGAGAGGGCAGTGGATAGAGTCAGAAACCAGGGAGAGAGAGGACAGTGGATAGAGTCAGAAACCAGAGAGAGAGAGAGGACAGTGGATAGAGTCAGAAACCAGAGAGAGAGAGAGAGGACAGTGGATAGAGTCTGAAACCAGAGAGAGAGAGGACAGTGGATAGAGTCTGAAACCAGAGAGAGAGAGGACAGTGGATAGAGTCTGAAACCAGAGAGAGAGGACAGTGGATAGAGTCTGAAACCAGAGAGAGAGAGAGGACAGTGGATAGAGTCTGAAACCAGAGAGAGAGAGGACAGTGGATAGAGTCAGAAACCAGAGAGAGAGGACAGTGGATAGAGTCTGAAACCAGAGAGAGAGAGAGCGGGGAATGACATGCGGAAAGGGGCCACGGGTGGAAGTGAACCCGGGCCTACCGCTCGAGACGAAAGTCTCAATACATGGGACGCGCGCCCTAACCATTGCGCCATGTTGGGGTTGTATCAAGTCAACTTTGGTTATATTCTTTAATAATTATACTTAATTATTAATAATATAAATAAAATATCATTAAACTATGTTTAATCTCGTTTTGGGGCACCAACCTGTAATCAGGTAAATATAACCAAAATATCACTCAAATCAGTCTCAAATTAGTTATTTAATTACTAATATTATTAATAATGAATAACTATATTTAATAAATTGAAGGTGTGAAATCCGTACACAAAGCCTTCTCACCCAGCTTATATCACAATGCAAATACACCAGTAACCACAAACAACTGCTCTCTTAAATTATAACAGAATTTATTTAAACAAAGCAACATCAATCCAAAATCAATGAACTTAATTAAACAAATAACTATTATAAACTAATCTAAGCAACAAACATTATCAAGCAAAGGCTTGTGGATGAGGTGTAAATGTGTGTGTGTGCAGATGAGTGTGTATGTAGATGTGTGTGAGAGAGAGAGAGAGAGAGAGAGAGAGAACAAGATGGTGGAGAGAGACAATGCACCATGTGGCTTCGTCACATGGTGACAAAATGGTGGACAACAAAGGAAGCCGTGTGGCTGCCTTTTGAAATAGTTTGAGCTCTCTGAGCTGAGTTCAGTCACTGTTACTTAAACACCAGAAAGCCAGTGGCCGGACTTTGATTCAATGGCAGGTACACTGGTCTTTCTGATTGTGAAAGCCGTTGACTGAAGGTAAACTAGCATAGCATTAAACACATAGACGAACACAGCAGTTCATTACAATAAAACAAATGCAGCAGCTTACAACAGATAATATACAGAATGTGACATCTCGTCAACAATGATGCATAATTATCAGTGGGTATAAAAGAAACATAACTATTTCTGAAACTATTTCTGCCCAGACCAAAGCTCTTACTTGGGGTAACTCCTGGTGATCGTTGCAAAGTTGGTTAGATCGTCACTCTGTTGAATGTTAAATCAACAGATTCAGGCAGGTTTCCTTCGTGGCAGATGTAGGAGGAGGGTAGCGGGATTCAGATCTTCGACCAGAGCGCTGCTCTATAGGGTCTTCTGGTTGCAGGAGCCAAGTTCTTTATGTGTTCTTGTGGATTCAGGGATCAGTGGGCTTCCTTCAGCGCTCCTGTCCAGTTGCGTTCAATGACGTCTTACGAAAAATCAAAGGAAAGAAACTCTTCTTTTTGCTCGAACCTGATAGCATCTGATTGCGCCCAAAACTCCTGAAAATATGCCGTGGAAGTAGTCAGCTGAATCCTCTGATGCTTGAATTCAGCATGTGAAGAGCTACCTATACTGAGCAACCTCAGCTCTGGAGTTTAACTTATGTAAGCCAAGAGGAGGAAAGGCTTTGTCTCGAATGATGGAGTCCATCATATGGAGAGGGTATCCTCTGGTGTCGGCAGACCACACTTGAAGAGAAGGAAGCAATGCCTGGTGATTGCTTTTAAAGACTGGAGCAGGCCTCCTCCAATGAGGATAGAGAATTCAGACACCCCCCCACTTTTCACACCTATTTGTTGGTTTCTGTTGGGGGGTTGCTGGGCTAAGACCCCTTTGTTCAGTTCCCTCCAAAATACTCTAGTCAGGCTTGAGAACTGTGATACAGGCCTGAGTCGCTTGTCCCATGCACATGGCTGAGGCCCAACAGCCACCAGCGTGCCCCAAAACAGAAACTTTTTTAGAACTTTATCTATTGTGAACGTACAAAAGTAGGAACATAGATTAAATATATGAACCCCAAAAAGGGCATAATATGGACTCTTTAATTTGATTTTGTGCATTTATTAATTTATCATTTTTATTTCCTTCAGTCACGCTCTGGAGTCGTACACCGCCCTGCCTTACAACCAGAGGAGCCCCTGCCCCCCCAACCCCATCAACCGCCCCGCCTACCAAGGCAGCAACCCCATCAGCGACGTCTGGTCCCGCCACGCCCTTAATGTCCTCGCCAAGTACATGAAACGGTAACAAAAAGTTGAAATCAGCAGAACCACAGAGGACCCGAACAGGTTCTCTGTGGAACTCCACTTAAGGTTTAAATCAAACAGAGCTGCTGTTCTCCTCGTTTACGAGAAGATGTCGGAGGTTTATGATGTGTTCAGGTTCTTTATCTGCGTTTCAGAATCAACACATTGAATAAAAACACAAAAAAACATAAATCTGTTGATTATATATTTCTTAATATTAAATGACAGTAAATAATCCCGTACTGTATCAAACAGAGACGGGCTAACTGGCTGATTTGTAGCTGAAGGCTGCTGTGTGAACTAGCGCCGTAAAGACGTACTCACTTCTCACCAGATGACCTCGACCCGCTGACAAAGTTACATAGTGCTGAAAACAGGCGAGCGGGGCGCTCTGTGGATGCCATGAGAGAGACGCCATCCTCCCTGTTGGTGCTTCCATTAGATCGACTGTTTGAAGGAGGAGGAGTTACAGAGTGTCGCTTTAGGATTTTTCCGAACCGTGAGCAGGATTCCTGTTAGCACGATGTGTGATCGTTTGTTTGTTTGCAGAGCGGTGCGGGACCCTGAGGACCTGGAGGCCCGGTCCAGCATGCACCTGGCCAGTGTGTTTGCTGGGATTGGTTTTGGAAACGCTGGAGTTCATCTGTGGTGAGAGAATCGTCTCTGCTCACGTTAACCTCCTGAACATTTACAGATGTCACTCAAAGCTAACACTCCAGATTCTGGCCTGCAGTGCCTACATGTACCAGGATGCTTTGCGTGCCACATCGGCACTTTGCTGCCACCTGTGATTCTACAGACATTTATGATACGAAAGTCAGAGAGATGCAGAGACGATGACCTCGTCTCTCAGCTCACAGTTTATTAATAACTCTTAAAAGATCATAAACTCTGCAGGTCGTCACCTCTGACAGAGAAATATAAAAATATTAATAAATGTAATAAAAGTATGCAGCGTCTCAGTGATCAAAGTGTTCTCTGTGCAGTCACGGGATGTCTATCCGATCGCTGGCAACGTGAAGACTCACTCAGCGAAGGGTTACAGCGTGGAGCACGCCCTGGTGGTGAGTGACGAGAAGACGACATGGACCAGCTGTTTTCTTATGAAGACGACGTTTAGTTAGAGAAATGTTTGCGTCTATAACGTCAATAAAATGTGTGTGTGTGTGTGTGTGTGTGTGTGTGTGTGTGTGTGTGTGTGTGTGTGTGTGTGTGTGTGTGTGTGTGTGTGTGTGTGTGTGTGTGTGTGTGTGTGTGTGTGTGTGTGTGTGTGGTGTGTGTGTGTGTGTGTGTGTGTGTCTCAGCCTCATGGTCTCTCAGTCGTCCTCACGTCTCCGGCCGTCTTTCAACTTCACAGCTCCAATGTGTCCAGAGCGCCACCTGGAGGCTGCAGAGATCCTTGGTATCTGTTCATAAAGCACAACACACACAAAACACAAACCTGCACTCAGACAGACTCTGTGAGGCGTTCAGGTGCATTAACAGACTCTGTGAGGCGTTCAGGTGCAGCGACAGACTCTGTGAGGCGTTCAGGTGCATTAACAGACTCTGTGAGGCGTTCAGGTGCAGCGATAGACTGTGAGGCGTTCAGGTGCAGCGACAGACTCTGTGAGGCGTTCAGGTGCAGTGACAGACTCTGTGAGGCGTTCAGGTGCAGCGACAGACTCTGTGAGGCGTTCAGGTACAGCGACCTACTCTGTGAGGCGTTCAGGTGCAGTGACAGACTCCATGTTAAGGTACAGTTATAATCCCTCTGTGTTGCGTTCAGGTGCAGACATCAGTCAGGTGAAGCGGGAGGATGCAGGTCCTGTTCTTGCAGACACGCTGCGTCAGTTACTGTACGACCTGAAGGTGGAGGACGGACTCGCTGCTGTGGGCTATAGTAAAGACGACATCCCGGATCTGGTGAAAGGAACCATCCCTCAGGTGTGTTGTGAGCTCACCTGCAGCCTGTCATATGTCACTGTGGGGACTCAGGTGTGAGCTCACCTGCAGCCTGTCATATGTCACTGTGGGGACTCAGGTGTGAGCTCACCTGCAGCCTGTCACATGTCACTGTGGGGACTCAGGTGTGAGCTCACCTGCAGCCTGTCACATGTCACTGTGGGACGTTTGAGATAAAACTGTTTCTGTTTGGCTGTTTCAGGAGCGAGTGACCAAACTGTCCCCCAGAGAACACACCGAGGAGGACCTGAGCCTCCTGTTTGAAGCCTCTATGAAGCTATACTGACCACACAGACACACACATACACACACACACACACACACACACACACACACACTGTGTCTTTAAACTGATCTCCTGTCTGCTTTGTGTTGAGCTGCAGTTCCTCTAACAGCCACTAGATGGTACTGTTTCTCCTCTGACACTCACCTCTACCTCATTTTATATAAACAATGTTTCAATCAAAGACGGACTGGGATTCTTTGTTGTGTGTGTGTCTCTTGTGTGTCACATCATCAATCAATCAAATTTTTATTTGTATAGCGTCAACTCATAACAAGTGTTATCTCGAGACACTTTACAAAAAGCAGGTAAAAGACCAACGATCTCAAGGTGCCAGTTTCCCCCCTAGTCTAAGCCTATAGCAGCATAACTAAGAGCTGGTCTACACCAGCACTAACTATAAGATTTATCAAAAAGGAAAGTTTTAAGTCTATTCTTAAGAATACAGACTGTGTCTGCCTCCTGGACCTCGGCTGGAAGGCGATTCCAGAGAGGAGCCTGATAACTGAAGGCTTTACCTCCCATAGTACACTTAGAGACTGTAGGTACCACCAGCAGGCCTGCGTCCTGGGACCGTTGTGGTCCCTTTTCCTAGTTCTAGTCAGTACATGAGCTGCAGCGTTCTGGACTAGTTGAAGAGTCTTTAGAGACCCACCAGAGCACCCTGACAAAACAGAATTACAATAATCCAACAAGGAGGTAACAAATGCATGAACTAGTTTTTCTGCATCATTTTGCGACAGGATATTCCTGATCTTGGATATATTACGAAGGTGAAAATAGGCTGTTCTTGAAATTTGCCTGATGTGAGAGCTAAAGGACATATCTTGATCAAAAAGAACTCTAGATTCCTAACAGTGCTGCTAGATGCAGGCTGATGTCACTAAGGACAGTCAAATCACTAGAAAAAGTCTCTCTGAGGTTCTTAGGGCCTAGCACAATAACTTCAGTCTTGTCTGAGTTAAGGAGCAAAAACATTTCTGGTCATCCAGGTCCTAACGTCCTTAAGGCACGTTTCTAGCTGACATAACTGACTGGTGCCATCGGGCTCATGATACAAAGAGCTGAGTATCATCTGCATAACAAATGAAACTGTATGGAGTGTTTTCCTCATAATATTTCCCAGAGGAAGCATATATAATGTAAAGAGAATTGGTCCAAGCACTGAACCTTGTGGCACTCCATGGCTAACTTCGGTGTGCATAGAGGACTCATCATTAACATGTACAAACTGAGATCGGTCTGATGAGTAGGATTCAAACCAACTTAAAGCAGTCCCTGTAATTCCAAGTAAATGTTCTAGTCTGTATAATAGGATCTGATGGTCAATGGTGTCAAAAGCAGCACTAAGATCTAACAAGACGAGCACAGAGAGAAGTCCCCTGTCTGAAGCTAGAAGTAGATCGTTTTGTAACTCTAACTAGTGCAGTCTCAGTGCTATGGTGGACTCTAAATCCTGACTGAAACTCCTCAAATAAACTGTTGTCATGGAGAAAGTCACACCAGCTGATTAGCTACCACTTTCTCCAGGATCTTCTAGATAAAAGGAAGGTTGGATATAGGCCTGTAGTTAGCTAGAGTTCCTGAGTCCAGAGTAGGCTTTTTAAGTAGAGGTTTGATTACTGCTACTTTAAATGACTGTGGTACATACCCTGCCAGTAAAGACGAATTGATCATATCTAATATAGAGTTGCTAACTAAGGGAAAGACTTCCTTAAACAGCTTGGTTGGGATTGGGTCTAAAAGACAGGTTGACGGTTTTGACGCAGAAATAATTTGAATTTAGCTCTGAAAGGTCGATTGGAGAAAAACAGTCGAGACTAATATCTGGTCCTGGAACTGTCTCTGCCGTATCAGACGTATCCGCACCAGGTAAGGGCAGGAGGTTACCAATTTTGTCTCTGATGTCTAAAACTTTGTTGTTGAAAAAGCTCAGGAAGTCATTACTGGTGAGGGCTAAAGGAATACAAGGCTCAATGGAGCTATGACTCTCTGTCAGCCTGGCTACAGTGCTGAAAAGGTATCTAGGATTGCTTTTGTTTTTCCTCGATTAGAGAGGAGTAGTAGGCAGCTCGAGCGTGACATAGAGCCTTCATATTCTTCTATGACTATCCTGCCAGAAAAACGAGATTCTACCGTTTTGGTCGAGCGCCATATTCTTTCAACAAATTCCGCGACGATTGTTTTAGAGTACGGGTTTCTGATTGAACCATGGAGTTAGTCTCTGCCGTTTGATAACCTTCTGTTTTAGGGGAGCAATCGAATCCAGAGTAACTCTCAGTGAATCCACTGCACTATCAACAAACTGATCTAGCTGAGAGGACTAAAGCTATCATAAGAGTTTCCAATTGGGTTGAACACGGTACTGAATCAAAAGCAGCTGAAATAGCGTCCTTAAATCAGAGCACTATCCGACAGACTTCTA